GGAAATGTGTTAATGTGTATGAATGTCAAAATAATATCTATTCTTTATCGATGTATTACTAAATATGTCAGCGTTTGTTGGTCACACCTAACGATTTAAAATGTCGATTCTTATTTTAATTTAACTGCCACGTCAAGAAATTCCAATCAACCAAAAGCAATCCGTGCCCACTTTCATACAATGAGAAAAACAAATACTTGTAAATGATAAGAAACAGATGTCTATGTTTGGCTTTGATGGTTTCTTATTACTGTTAACTTTTAATGGATTAGTTGCTTTATTGAAGAAAGAAAGTTTGATTAGATAAGTGACAATATATGTAACTTGGAGGTAAAAGATTCAAAAACAACTATGATGATATAATCGTTCGATATACGTTTTCGATCACGTGATATTTAACTGATGTTCTCTTATGATTAACAATGACAATGTTTATTCTTGAATATTCTCTAATATATCAGGAGTCACAAACTTCATATTTTGCCAAGATAAAGTAGCAAAGTCACTGCTTGAACCAAAGCATGCGCAACCTTCGTACTTCAAAAAATAGAAAAGGAGCTCGTGCAATTCAATTAACAAACCCTATACAAATATACGAAGGCTTCCGTTTAAGCAATGGGCTTAAGAACACAAATATGGAAACACTTGCAATTTCCTGCATTTTAAATTTATAAATTCATTTCTTGTTTGAGACGCTTGCACTTCTTGCAGAGCTTGAATAAGAACAGAGCTCTCTTGAAAAATTTCCTTAAGAAAACAGCGGATAAATTAAAACAAGTACGTGTATTTATCAATTGTTTTGTATATATGTAGTCAATTTATATTACATTTTTATTGAAATGTGTTCGTATGTAAATATTTTGCTATTTTAAATTGGCGCTTTAAGAAGTAACTCTCTTTAAAGTTTTGTAAGCCTGTTCTTTGTTGCAGTATGAACTCTTATGCAATGCAGGTGCTTATATGCAATATATTAAAGATACACATTACTTTTAAAAGCATGAGAGATGTAAGTGTAAGGCGTAAAAAGACAAAAAATGGAAGTGGATCGTATTGATCCCCCATCAAACTATCACTATACAAAATATTTACGACAGTAATTTTGAGCTAATTACATCAACTATATAAAAGAAAAGACTCAAGATTCATGATATGCAAAGAGAAGATGCAGATTATTTCTTTTTAGTAAATGTCATGCGCCACTTCTTCAAAAATGGCGCACTTTGACTAGCTCCGATTCATTATTTTCCCGTAATCGACTACGATCGAAAAAGCATAACTTTACACTCAAGTATAAACAAACTTCGTAAAGCAAACAGCAAAACGCAAGAAAAAACAAAACAAAAAACCATTTGCGAATGTGAGTCGAAAGAAAAACTCTCGGAAAACAGTTTAACTATCTAGAAGATAGCTACAGTTTGGAACGTTTTCTTTTTTACTGACAAAAACTAGAAAACGAAAGCAAGCTTCGTTCACGTCATATAATTCCAGATAATAAAACTTTTAATAACGTACAAAAAGACTTCGGTCCGATATTTCTCCGTATAGCACTCGAGCTCGGTTATTAAGGGCTTATTACTAGTTACTTTATGCGTCGTGATTAAATCATTTTATTATGTCATAAGCAAGAATAATCTTCAACACCTAATGCAAAAGATAGTTTAAACATAATAAAGTTTATCCTGATAATGTATGTATAAGACATGCATTTGTCTGTAATTCATTACAAGACCACAAAAACATGAAAGCATAAACATAAAGAAAAAAAATTTATAATCTTTGGCTTCCCATGCAACTGCTCTCATCTGTTCATTTTCTCAAATTGAGAAAACAATTAGGCTAAATGATTACCTTTGAATGACTACTACATCTTTTCATAATATAGTCAAGAAAACCATTGATATGTATATAATGTGGTATTACGTATTCAAGTATGAATTGAGAGCAGAACGTAAATGTCTTCGGTACCTCTTCGTAAAACAAAGACACAAAATTACTCTTTTTTGTTTTTATTCTTTTACATTTTCATTACGCATTGAATATTGAAACAATCAGGAGACAGACTAAGCCTTCAGTATAGCAGGTTTTATAAGAATTTTAAAATTGTACTTTAATATAGTTAAGTGACTTTAATCTCTTATTCACTCATTTATATCCTGGTAATTTTATAAACGTTGTCAGTTATTTTCTCATATAATAACAGAAAATTAATTTCTTTCTACGATAATTTAACAAATGATCACATAAAAAGTTTGTTGTAGCTAATTGTATGAATCTTGTTGGCCATGCGAACACATGAACATTTTAATTTGGATATGAGATTACAATTTAAAAGTTAAAAGGTAAATCACAAGTGTTGTGATCTTTCTAAAGTATTTGTCATTCCTTGCTCTACTTAGCTCTATATAACAACTAGCTATAAGTCTAAAATTGCAAAATCTACAGATATTTATATTCTTTTTTAAATTTAATTATTCATAATATATTTCTGTATGTAATCTAATGTGTCCCATTTGGGTTTACTTGAAGAGCTAAAATTGTAATAAATAGTTGTATCATACTTGAATTGTCTCTTACGACAATTAACTTAAACCTACCCACAAAATTTTGCTCGCATGTAAAGGTTTTTTCGATGTCGTATAAAAGTCGAATATTTCATATATTTATATGTATAATTTATTCACAAATATAATTATGAAAACTTTTGATATATAAAAAAGAAGCAAATTTATAGTTTTTTCTTTAATTGGAATCCACAATGTAAAGCAAATGGCACTTCATTTTCTATTTGAAGATTATTTTAATTCTTATTGTCACTTTAATAACAAGCTGTACATTTAAATGATAAATTTTTATTTTGCCTTCAAAACAATAAAGTTTTTAATTCAATTTTTCCGATTTTCTACGGATATTACTAACAAAGAAACTCTTCAAAGCAGCCTTCTGTATTTTTTTAAGTATAAAATTGGAGATTAAACGATTTTTTAAGTCCTTACTGAAAACGGACTGCTAGATTAGACAAAAATTGAGCAAGAAATGTATTATTACTTATAGTTATCTCACGAAACAACAACATAATTGACGCACACATATTGGGATGCCGTTTTAAAAATATTTTCTTACTTAAGTTCTATAAAATCTTCAGCAATGAGCAATAATCACAAAACGAGATGAAATGAAAAAAACGGCGACTCAGGAAAACAAAACAAAAGCGTTAACATTAAGATAATTAATGGAAAAGTTACTAGTGCAATTGCTACAAAATATATGTATTTGCACATACTCTTTATTCTTTCTCTCATATGTATATGTGTAAGTCCGCAAAGCAAATAACCACATATTTGCAATTATATAGATTTTTGCCTCATTTTGATTATTCAACACCACGAACTATAACAAAGATGACAAATTTTACTTTTGGCTTTTCCCTCCTACTTGTAGTTATCTATGGATCTATACAAATGTAAGTTTCGTGTGCTGGTGTTTGTTTGATCCATGTTTTTCGTCAGATTTTATGTTGATTGAATATAATAAGTTTTTGCTTGTATTTTTATCTCTTTTCAGCTGTTCATTTATTCCGATCTTGACACTGACACCCACCTTTCTCATATATATTATATTCTTTGCAAAATCTATGCATCTTTTACACGGCATTTTTCTTTTTTTCTAGAAAGACACTATCATCTTTGGTAACTGTCTCCACTAAAATCGTCTTTTCTTATCATTACATAGAGTGGCGTAACCAGCCCGCAAGTTTTGGTCCTGCTATGTAAATTTTAGATCATTAACAATATTCATTTCTTTAGAAATCTGTTGTTTTTACAGTAAGTGATTACAGAAAAATTAACATAGCAGGACCAAATTTGCAGGCTGACTACGCCATTTTCAGCTGCTACTGTTATAGTTTTCATGTCATACATTATCGCCGGTCTGACAACACTCTTATAAATCTCTTCCTTTAATTTTGCCGATAGTTTCTTATTTCACAGCACACACTTGCAAGGGCTTCACACAGCTATAGGTCCATTCTCTCAAAAAATTTCACGATAAACGTTCTTTCAACATTTCTCCTCCCAGTTCCATAGCTCCCCAAGATGTCATTTCTTCTGTTAACTTTTCCAACATGCCCTTTCAAATCAGCTTACATCACAATCCTTTCCACCTTAAGTATCTTTTTATATGTATCATCTAGGACCTGTCAGAATCTTTTTTCTTTTTGCCACTCATTTATTCAGCCGTACATACGCTCTATTTATATCAACCACTATTCTACTTTTCTCAATCCTTAGACATAACAAACTATATGTTATTCTTCAAATTTCCCAACTACCTCCAGTAAATCATTTTTCCACCCATGCTTGTCGTTCTTTTTTTAAGCATTATTGTGCCACAATTTTTTTAGCTTTATCCTAACTTTCTTGCTTTTGCTTTCTTAAATCTTGTTTCCTTAACACAAGAAACCTTAATCTGACTTTTCTCTATCATATATATCACTTTTCTTTTTTCTCCAACCTATTATTACCTATTATGCGTTCACTCCAGAAGATTTGTTTTTTCACTTCTCTTTTCAACATTCTGTCTGTTTTTTTTTCTTTTGCATTTTACTTCTTCTCCTTCTCGTAGTTTTTAAATTAGCATGTCCACTAGCAATTTTTATGTTGAAGGCAATGATAACGGACATTGTTATCCCGGGCTTCTATTGGGTCAGGACGTTTGACTTTTTGTAGCTACGAAAGATGCCTTTCCTGTCGCAATTTATTTCAATTACGTTCAATGACACGCAGATTGTTATAATAACTCATCCACCACGCATTTGTGTTGCTTATATGACATAAACTCTAAGACAGTCATTTAAGAGTCATTTGCGTCAGAAAACATTCTATTCAAATTTAAATAATTAAAGATATCTATTCAAGCTTAATTAGCAGTTTGAAAATGATATTTTTATAACCAGGAGTCATTCTTTGTGATGTGATAAAATCAAAAGATTGGTTGATTCAAAAATGGATGCTTATCAAGTACTGTGTAAGAATAATACGTCACTTCCTCCAAATCGCTGTGATGATATCAAAACAGAAGTTAAATCATATGAAAGGTCGTATGCATCAATATGCTTAAACAGAACTAATGGTACGTAGACAGAAAAATATTTCTGCTTATTTATACTTGTAATTAATTTGATAATAGATTGTGCTTTATAATTTAGCATTTGATTGATTACTTCCTGTCAAATCTAGCTTGCGCTTCATATAAAATATAGTTGTATTCATTGATTAAAGTGCATATAAACCTTACAGGATTTTAGTATTGTTTGAAGGAAAAACTAGTGAAATTAACAAATTAAAAAAAGTAAATTGTTTTACATTAAACCTACCTTAAGAAATTACTGTTAAAAATCCAAATTTACCATATATATTTTTCACTAAGGGGTCTGGTATTAAGTTGTTGTCGTGACGTCATGTAAGGAACACAGTTTGCACGGCTCTATTTAATTCAAGACAAACTGTCTGCTGTAAATTATCCATAGAGTCCTTTTTTAAATAATTGGCTTTATTTAGGTCGGCATTTTTATCGTTGGATTCATCAAAAAATGAAATTTTGGACATAGACTTCGGCAGTAGTTTCAGCAACAACACTAGGCTCGAATGCAAAAAACACATGTGGCATAATATTTACTTTTTATATCGGAAGGTATGACAGGATGTTTCTAAGACGGGTTGTATACATCCCACGTTTATACAAGTTTTTACAACGAGACAAAAAGTAATTGAGATTAAAAAACCATCATATCACATCTCCTCAGCCTTGATTTGCCAAATCCTTTGTCTAAAGACTAACCGACGCGAGACAAGAAAGCATCCAGCTCCACACAAACAAAGGACAATTACATATAGAAAATGTATAAAACCGAGGTCTCATTCATCTCCCGTTTTGGGAGTCAATCCATCCCGGCTCTCATATAAACAAGTGCTTTTTGTGCCCCTTATACATAGGAGAAGATTGGGCCAGCAATGACTGAGAAGAAAGATTCTACACAAGCTTGCTTCTCTTGCAAATTAATATATACCGCCTAGTTAAGTTCTTGGGCTTAAATGTAAAATGCAAATACTATACATAGCTGATATTGGATATTTTACTCGCTTTAGCGCAACAAAGTCGAGCCACTTATTTCAACAGAATTGGCTCATTAAAAGGAATGAGGGAAGGCTTTTGCCTTATGGGCAGAAAACGTTAAACCTGCCGGTTATAGTCGACTAAGTTGGCCTTATATGACAACATCTTGCTATACTTTTCATATATCTTTACGACAGTTCAGACCCGTGTTATTTACATGATGTCAGCTTGACGCGCAGGCCCAGTCCCATAGTGGTAAAACCGAGTGCTTAAAATGGTATATTTTTGCAAATTTGACGGAGTTTACAGCGCAAACTATTTGTCTTATTTCAGAAAAATTTTGGAATATGGCCTTTGATACCATGTACATTGAATAGTGTAAAAACACGTAAGGTTTATATGCAATTTAAATGATTCAATTCAATAGTTGTATTATAATATAGTTGAGTTCCGTCAATTCAATGCAATATTTACAAATCTTGGAGCCTCTGGTCGCCATGGTCCAACATCAATTGGTCAATTTTACAATGGTCAGGATCACGAAAATATGGTAACCGTATCGAAAGGTATCCAGTATTGGACAGTGCCTTACACTGGAACTTATGAAATTACAGCTGTTGGTGCAATAGGTGGTGATGATAAGTATGGCTCTGCTTATAGAGGTAAAGTTTTTAAAGTTTGCTATTATTGTAGTTTCCTATCAGATAATTGGAAACTCAATTTTTTAAGACAATATTATTACACTAGAAGTTACTAACGCAAGGGGAATTGCTGCTCGGGCTTCCTTTTTCATCCATGGGACGAGTGCTTAGAAGAAATGAAATCAAGCGCACGGAAAGCCGACGGCAAGCTCGAGCGAGCATAAGTATATCCGCTTCCCATGTTTTACTTGCGACGATTATAGAAACATCCTCGAAAAATTTAACATTAAATTCATTGCTATTATGAATGAAAACCGTTTTTATTAGATTATACTATATCTTCATTTGTCGTCCTAAGGCTTTGTGAAGAGTAACATTGTCGTTCACAAATAAATGGAGCAAAGTTTACTCCGTATATGAAAAAAGTAAACCATGCTTACAAGATAATATACAACTGACTGAATCTTTAATTTTGGGCCAACAGGCCGTGTAGTTTTGTTAGTATTTTCTTATCATGGTCGGACTATATTGCTCATTGTTATATACTTAATTTGTGAACGGAGAGGCTTCACACGTGGCAAGTATTTTTTGACCATCCCATTACACATACGTACATAATTTAAAACAAAAATCATTTAACATGCTGAAACAGTTATACTACATGAAACATTGACTCGAAAACTATAAGGTCACTATTGAGAGTTTTACATATTTATTGTATACTTGTGACAGCACATTAGCTAAATGTACTTTTGTCCACCATATGTGATGCAGTCAACAAAATGTTCTTGCCGTAAAAGCGTCGATAATATCATGAAAGCACATTGCTTTTCTTTCCGAGTGGATCGCCTTCATGCAAATCAGCAGCTGTTAATGAAGCCATACTACTGCTGATATCAAGTATTCCAGAAAACTTTGCTTTCTGTTCGTTCGACAAATCAAAATATAAAGAACTTAAATCTTAAAATGTTTTTTAATGTTTATCAACCGAAAAACATACGTGCTCTACTTAATATTTTATCATCCACCCCCCACAATCAAAAATGTTCTAAATTGTGACGTCTTGCCCTAAAAATCTTGCCGGACAGACGCCAAATCCGAGTGTTGAAAAGTACACAGGCTGCGTGAAAAGACTGGGTCGAGTGAAATAGGAGTCATGAATAGTGTGCTGCCTCGTTCTTGCTCGGCAGCAATTAACATGGCGATGAAATTTTCAAATTTTATAACTTTGCAGCTGTATATTTAGCAAATGCTCAAAACTGCGCTAATTTTTCTTGCGGAAAGCTAAATCCACCAACCTATAAGAAACTAAATGGATTTAACATCGCTTACTTTGTTCTTTTCGTATCTAGAACATACAATGGCGATGAAATTTTCAAATTTTATAACTTTTGCAGCTGTATATTTAGCAAATGCTCAAAACTGCGCTAATTTTTCTTACGGAAAGCGAAATCCACCAACCTATAAGAAACTAAATGGATTTAACATCGCTTACTTTGTTCTTTTCGTATCTAGAACATACAATCGTCAAATTTTATCAAACGTTCGCAAGTGAATGTTTTCATAATGTATGAAAAATGTGACTGAACATAAACTATTACTGTGTTCGTATGAAGAATATTAAAGTATTTAAATTTATATTAGGGGAAAGCAAATAAAAATATGATTTGTTTTACATAAGCCAGAGTGTTTAGTCTGTTATTTGGGACTAAAGAAACCCTTCATTTTGCGCAGGCGTCAATGATAATGACAGTTGAATACTTTACGATAAAAATTGTAACGTGACGTAACGATTTATTACAAAAAAATTTGAACTTATTATTCGGAAAATCGAATATAGTGTTTTCATGAGTCACCAATTTGGTTTGAACATTGTATATAGTAAAAAAAATTTATGCTAATTTTATTTTCTGTTGAGCATCGGCACTTTGATGTACTCCTCAAACTTGGGCGATTTGACGTCACATGCAAACACTCCATAGAATTACCAAGCCTAGAAATTTTGCTAAAATGTCAAAATATGCTAAAATGTTCCCAAAATTTAAAAACTTGCTCACAATAAATTTTCTATTGTATTCTTAATACTATAAACAACTATGAAATTTTCTTTAAAAAAACACCCGCTGATTGGTCGAATGCTTGAAAAAAGTGTTTCGTAGGAAAGCGTGACGTCAAAGCGGTCATGTTGGGCATTGAAGTAAATACATGCAACGCTACCTGAAATAATTGAAGCCGTGACTTTACCCCAGACACGCGCGTGTAATGTTTCGAAATTCTCACGGAGTAAAATTGATTGATTGAACACGCAACTCGAAGAGAAAATAAACAATAAAATCGAAAATGACATTTTTGTTTGTCGTTGCATGTTTGTATTGACATTTGATCAATTTGACCAACAAATTCAGTTGCTTCCTTCTTTGCTCATTTTAGTTCAATGTGTTGCGGAGAGAACATCAAAGTGCCGATGCTCAAAATAACATGAAATCAACATAAGTTCTTTTCATTATAAGCGATTTTCCCCCAACATAGCGACTGATGAAAACACTTTATAGCTTTATAATGCGCGTAAACCTCTCTAAAAAATCTAACAGACTGCATGGCTTGCGCAAGAAATTTGATTGGTGAAAACCTAAACAAAACGTCGTTTAAATGATGAATTTAATGATGAATTTTTCTTTACGATATATTTTTAAAAAGCCTATTTTGTAAAGAAAATACAAACAAAGATTATATATTTTCATTCCAATATTTTTCCCGCGAATCAAAGTACCCGTGTTTCTGTTTCAGAAGCTTGTGCTTTTATGCGAGGCCATGCAGTTTCAATTAACAGAATTATTTCCTATGCAAAAGCAATAATTTTGATTTGCTTAAACTTATAATAGGATAATCTATCGTTTTTAGGTCGTGGAGCTTACATGAAAAGAGACTTTAAAATAAAAAAGAAGAAATTTTTAAAATTCTGGTTGGGCAAACGGCACTCGTCAATAACCGTGTCTATACATCAGGAGGTGGCGGGTCTTTTGTTGCTAGGAACAACAATGTACCACTACTGGTTGCTGGAGGTGATGGTGGTATAAAACATCTGAAGGAACGTTTAGATAACTGTGATGCCGGCAATAACACATCTGGAAAAAATAACAAATGCGTCACACCTTGTGGAAACTGGGCTGGAGGAGTAAATGGGCATGGAGCTAAGCAGGCAGACTCAGATAATTCAGGTTGTAGCAGATTTTGAGTTTACGGTATTTAGGCTCACATTTTTGATAATTTGAAATCATTATAAGAAAAACTTTGTTGTTAAGGGATACTGAAATTAATATGTATGAGCTCTAATCATTACACCAAGATTTATTATTATCGGTAAAAACCTTTCCCATATAAATCATTCTAGCCCTGTGATGCATTTTTTGTTTGCAATCAAATCAGAAGTAAAACAATATAAAATTTATAAATATTTTTCATGATATTTATTAGATTGTGGTGGAGGTGGATTTTACAGCAATGGAAGAAGTAGTAAACAGTTTGGTCCAAGTATGGAAATGGAGGAGAAGGAGGTTTTGCTTTTATAATTGGAGGAGCAGGAGGACGTGCCTGGTATATCAATGCCGTTGGTGGGTTTGGAGGTGGTGGTGGGGCATATGGTCCTGGTGGAGGATCAGGTGGTGGAGGTGGTTACTCAGGTGGAGCATCCGGAGAAAATGTGTACGGATCTTGTGGTGGTGGTGGTGGATCTTATAATGCAGGAAAAAATCAAGTGAACAAGTCTGCCTTTAATGACAAAGGAGACGGATATGTCATTATCACTCGAAAGAGGTAGATTAAATCATCTTAAAGTTGTGTATTTTTTCGTAAAAACACTTTAGTATCTTGTTGTATAGTTTAGAACTGTTTAAGACAACATTTTTTGAAATAGTAGTTTGCCTATCTGTTAAGGCAAACTTGGTAGTCAACGTGAATTAGCACGATATTTACCTATATCTATAAATACAAGTAAAATTTTTGTGTATTGACAACATTGTTGTCAAATTACAATTTTTATGTAATAAGACTTCATAGTTGCATTAGGGGTAAGTTTTTTCCCCTTCAATACCTTAGTCTAAATTTTGATTGTGAACCTACTCTTTAAATAAATATTTTCAAAGCTTATCTGGTTATAAAAATCAAGCCTGTTTTACAGTCTGCATTCTGAATAATGTCAATAAGTAATTTTATGATATTTTCTGAGTCATTCAATACCTTATAACTTGATACCATGAGAAGTGAACTTCAAAATGCTCTTTATTGCTCTAAATCTACCCAATTTATACCTATGTAAAACATAATTTATTTATACTAGAAATATAAAAAAAGTTTAGCTATTTTGAATATTTTGCTATTTCAACATGGTATATGTACAGTTGACAAAATGATACAGGTACTGTATTAAGCAGTCCTTTTGTGTTAAGTCGTCACCTGCTATTGCTTCAGAAAATTTTATAATACAATTATCCTAAGAGAAACCTTTATATATTGAAGGGTTAAATTAATTACAGCACGTTCATGCAGTTAGCCTGAGTTAGGTTAGTTGTATAAAAAAGTAGTTAGTGCTAGCTGTAGTTAAAAGATAGTTAGAGTTAGCTAGTTAGCATCGCTAACTTTACAAACACAGTTAAATATGGCGGCGTTGCTTAGATATTTATGGACAAGATGTTGTTGATTAGCAAAGTTTTTCATATGTTTTTTTTTGCATCTTCCGTGGCAAAGGCTTTTTAGAATAAGAGCTTGGAGGGGGGTTTACATTTTTCATTACTGTAAACATCCCAAATACTTGTTAAGCTCATAATTCCATTGCCAACAACTTGTTAGGAATTGAATTATTATGAGCTCTTATTCTCTATATATATATCTTATATATCTTTCTTGTTTTCTCACAACTTTCCGCATCTTTCAAAATCTTCTGCGTATGAGGTGAGTGACATTCCAAAATAACATTTTTTTCTGTATAATTTCATAATACCCGATCATCAAGTTACTAGCCATAAAAATGGCGGATTTAACGATTGCGCAAAGAAAATATGCCAAGCATTACACCCGCTAGTTACCCTTCCATGTATTTCTTTTATATCGCCCATATTCTAAAAGCCCCAACACGCTTAATGAATGGGTCTTCAAAATCACTTCGTAATTATTCGAAGACCGTAATTTCACTTCACTGATTGCTTGATTTTAAATGTTTAGGAGAAAATCTTACCATAGATGGAGAAATGTCTTTGCTGATTATTAGATAGAGTGTGATTTTTTGTTGCACTTAATCAGTGTGAATGTGAGCGAGCTTTTAGAATACGGACATATGACTTCTTCAAGAAATTTTGTTGCCGAAATATAGTATTAATCCCAAAGCATCGACGACATTTCTTATTTAGCACAGGAAATATGTTACACTTCTGTCCGAAAGAAAAGGAAAAACGGAATGTACAAAACAATGAGTTCCTTCGTAAGAAAGAAATCATTTACGCTGAGTTATAAATCCTACGCACTCACCTACAACGAAATAGTTTATATAATCAAATATCAAGTTTACACAATGTAATATATACATCCATCTTCAGAACTTATAGTTTAAATTCTCTCCTTTAAATTCAACAAATTCATTAAGAGGAAATCTATTTGATAGAATTCTATAATGAGTGACAAACACTGCGCTTATGTACAAGGAACTATCGTCAATTATTGGTGTTAAGATTAATATAAACTCAAATCTATCCTTAATTGATGAAGATTATAAAAAATAACATATTAAAAAATACTTAAATAACCCATGATTTTAAAGCTGAGCGTATGTGTTTGCGCTTAGATTGAAAATTAGATTGACAAAGGCTTTATTTGCATAAACAACATGCACGATATATATTTCAAATATATATATACACCTATATGTTTCAAATGCTTTTCAGCTTTGCCGTTTTCGTGAGATATATATATATATATATATATACCCTATATGTTTCAAATGCTTTTCAGCTTTGCCGTTTTCGTGAGCAAGATATTTTAAATTGTACTTTTAATTTAGCATGGGAGTTAAATCACAATGACAGTGTCTATAATTGGATGCATATGAGTTTGGATTCACTTTATTTGTTGATGTTGGCGTATGCTAAATTTGACTTTTGAGACAACCCGCCTTCCTCCTGTTTCGCTGTTTTTCATTATTTTTGAAGTTTTATGAATGACCTGCTTCAACACCACAAAAATGCCTTACATTTTTTTTCAACCGTTAAGTATCCTAGCAACTTTAGGTGTTTCCTTTATGTCTACAACCTTTTACGTCATCCCAATAGGCGTCCTAGAAATCCGTTTGAGTTTTTTATACAATCGATTTATGTATTGAACACCAATTCTTATTCTTGTGCAATATGTTTGTTTAACTTCAATTTTTTATGGTCTTAGCAGTCTTATATTTTGACAAGGTAGGAAAATTTCAACACAAAATTACCGACCGTTAATTCAAACATTTTCAGAAAACCGTAAATATTCCACAGATAAATGACAAAACATAGAAAACAACTGCGGCACAATAAAAAAGTTTGTTTTTACTATATTTTTGCAGTATTTTCAACATTAAAATTTGTTTCTGTTGTAAGAAAAACATCAATGTTTTAGGGCTTGTAGCAAAAATTTTTTAAAACGTATATAATTTATGGCCACTCACCTTGTCATTCGTCGTGTTTTTGAATGTTCAAAGGCATCACAGATTGGCAGCATTTAATTCAAAAACTGTACTAGCCATGCAGTCTGAATACATGCGTAAACAAACATACGTGCATGAAGTTAAACTAAATTGCGCGCGTGACAAGCATTGAACGTGGATCAAAGAAAGTAATTAATATTTACGCAAATCGATTGCAAACAAAAAAGGTTTCAAGGCTACCTGTGGCACTCTTGTTTGTTGATCTTTTATTGATCTTGCGACACGCAATAGTACATATACCTGAGCCCAGAGTCTTAAATAGAAAGTTAAATGGGGAGGTGCATATCCATATATTCTGTTGTGCCCTGCTGACTTCTTTTGAAAGTGAATTGAATTTTAAAAGAAATCAGTAGGGCGCGACAGACCCTAGACTCTGAGCTCATCTATGGCAAATTCAATTCCATTGTTGAATGTTTCAATGAAACTTAAGAGGGCCAAAAAAATTCAGCCTATAATGAAATTTACAGGAATGATCGACAGGGTATTTGACATGCTTAATAACAGATCTCATTTAGCAAAGGGATACAAGCAACTTCTGAGAAGAAAATCTGAGGACACATGGGTGTCATGCAAAGAGAACCTAAAATCAAGAATGGACATGACATAAACTCAAGCAAAAACCTATGCAGTAAAATAATCATGGAAGTCTGTCATCATTACCGACAAATCAAGTCATTTAAACATCTTTGATGATCATACTCTTGGGTTGACCAATGACCATGATGAAAACCACAAGATGAAATCGATTGCGTATACTGCCGAGTACTTCACCCTTCAAGTACAGCAAGCGTCTTAATGAAACCGTTATATTCATAATGGACAACGAAGTTACAGATTCTAGTTAACTAAATTGATTTTGTTTACAAACCAACCAAATTTTATGAACTATTAATAAATTTTATCTATCGACCGTGAGCTGTACAGTGTGTAAAGTGTTTCCGTCAGTGGTATCATCTCAAAATGAGTAAGGGAAAGACTTCTTCGAGAACCGGAATTGAAACTCACTCGGACGATTGAAATCTGTCAAGCGGATGATTTATCGTTACAACAATTAAAAATGTTTAAAAAACAACAAAGAAATAGATTCTATCAACAGGCCTCGTCATCCACGGTGAGAAAACATCTCCATAAGACAGCACGTTGATAAAAGGCAAAAGGAAAAGTGTGATGAATATAACATAGAAAATAAATGCATGCATTGTGGAAACAAACATCCTAAACAAAAATGTCCTGCGCTTGGTCGGCAATGTAATAAATGCAAGAAATTCAATCATTACGCCAAGATGGGTCGCTCAAGTGGAAAATTAAACTCAATTGAGACAAAGGGATCTAATAATGGATCTAATCAAGAAGAGGTAAGCAACGATTTCCTATTCCTCGATACAATACAAGCTGTCATAAACGAAACAAGAATCAATCACAATCAAGCAGAATATGCAACACTGTGCGTGAACAATACTGAAGTCAAGCCAAAAGTAGATCCTGCTGACGAAGTGAGCGTCATTCTAGTTAAAACAAATAAATCGTTAGACAGCACTACAAGAATACCGTTAAAAAGCCAGCAGCTAATCTCATTGCATACAACAGCAAGCCTGTTCCAGTTAAAGCAGTATGTACTCTGTATTGCAAATACCGAGAAGAAGAGTACGATTTGGAATTCTTTATATCAGATACACCCAGTGAGCCTATACTCAGTATAGCAGCTTGCAATGAATTAAACCTCGTCAAATTTACTCAAGGACAAAATCACAAGTATCCGATGAGAGCGCGTCAAAGTCAACACAACATGCTTCTATAGATGAATATTCAGAACAAATTCGAACCAAATATGAAGATGTATTTATAGGTCTTGGCTGTCTCTCAAAACCATATCACATGCAAGTTTACGCATCTGTATTTATCCTAAGGACGTGAATAAAGCTTTGAAAAGAGAACATTATCAGCTTCCGACTATCGAAGAAATCACTGCTCGAATGCCAGGTGCATGCTTCTTCTCGACGTTAGATGCAAGATCGGTATATTGGCAAATGCCTTTGGACGAAGAAATCTTCAAGCTCACGACTTTCAATACAACGTTTGAAAGTTTTAGATTTACCTGAATGCCGTTTGGAATCCGAAGTGCTCAAGAAGTGTTTTACAAAAGAATACATGAAATCTTTAAAGATATAGCTGGAGTCCAAACAGACATCGATGACATTCTTGTTTGGGGTAGAGCACTTCAAGAACACGATGAGCGTCTCAAGGCAACGCTGGATCGAGCTAGAGAGTGCAATCTATAGTTTAAGCTAGAAAAATGTCACTTTAGAAAAAAGTGTGTGGTGTATATTGGACATCAACTCACACACAAAGGTGTCAAATCAGATCCACAGAAACTAGAAGCAATGGTGAACATGCCACAACACGAAGACAAGAAGCGAATTTAAAGGCTTCTTGGTATGGTCAATTATGTTGGATAATTCGTACCAAATTTTTCGGAAATCACTTCACCTTTACGACAATTACTTAAAAAAAAGACATAGTGTGGCACTTGACCGAGAGACATTCTCCTGTTTTGAAGAGACGAAGACCTTACTCTCAAGTCAACAGCATGGCATATTAGCATATTGTGTTATGTAATGAAATCAGTTTATCTTCAAGTAGACGCCTCGAAATCGGGACTAGGAGCAGTACTTATTCAATGAAATAGACCAGTAGCATACGCTTCAAGATCTTTGACACAAGCAAAACAAGATATGCACAGATAGAAAAGAATTGCTAGCGGTTGTTTTTGAGTGTAATCGCTTCTATCAGTGCATTTATAACCAGCATGTCATAGTTGAATCGGATCATCAGCCACTGGAAACCATCAGCAAGAAATTGTTGGATAAATCATCACTTCGCATGAAAGAATTCTACTGAATTTAGAGCGGTTTGATATTGAGGTAAAATATAAACCGGGAACTGAGTTATACATAGCAGATACGTTGTCCAGAGCCCATTTGTCAAATTTTAAATCAGAGGAAGAAACACTTGGTTTGGATTATCAAACGATTGCTACCATTGTCTGACGACAAACGAATAGATATCACTGAAGAAACAAGGAAGGACTTTATGATGAAAGATCTAGTCAGTATGATTACTGAAGGTTGGCCAAATGATAAGAATAATCTTTCAAGCTTCTTAAAACCATTATGGAGCAACAGAGAAGAACTGACAGTATTTGAAGGTGTGGTGCTCAAAGGAAAAAAGATCTTCATTCTACCCTCACTGCGAGGAAGTGTCTTAAATAAAATTCATCAAAACCACATGGGCGTTGAAAAAAGTAAACAGCGTGCTCGTGAGCTTCCATACTGGCCAGGTATAATTAAAGATATTCAGACAGATGTTGTAAATTGCTCAATTTGTGCTGAATATAGATGCAGCAATCAAAAAACCTATGTTACCACATACAATAACTAAATATCCATGGCAGATTGTGGCAACAGACATGTTCTATTGGAGTAATGATGATTACCTTCTGGTTTTGGACTATTACAGTGGAGTCTGGGAGATATTTAAAACTACCAACACGAAGAGTCCTGCAAAAATAGATAAAATGAAAACAATCTTCGCACGACATGGAATTCCAGAAAACGTTAAATCCGACAATGGTCTTACAATACTCTTCAAGAGAGTTTGTTGAATTTGCCAAAACGTGGGAGTTCGAACACGTAACGTCCAGCTCAGGTTATCCACAATCGAACGGTTTAGCGGAGAAAACGTTACAAATGGCAAAGTCCACTCTAACGAAAGCTCGAAGAGATAATCGCGATTTAAATTTAGCCATATTAGAGCAAAGAATGACACCAATTGATGACATTGGATCACCAGCACAATTAAGCATGGGAAGAACACTTCGATCAAATAGGCCATCCTTCACTGAACGACTTATTCCAAAAACAGTGAATCATGAGATCATTCAAATAAAATTGGAAAAGAAGCAAAAACAACAGAAAGAATATTACGACAGATCATCGAAATCCCTCGAAAACTTGAGAGAAGGTGAAAATATTTATGTTGAAAGAGAAGGGAAGTGAAAACCAGCCGTTGTCATAATCAAAGCGGACACGCCAAGAAGTTATATTGTGAAAACATCTGAGGGTGAAGAATATCGACGAAATAGAAGACATCTGAGGAAAACTAATGATCAAGATTTGCAGCCTCCCCTTCGTTTGCAATCAAAGAAAAATGAAGCAGACACAAAAGAACAAACCCAACTTAAAGAAGCAAGAGTAAAAGATGAGCAATCGATTTGTTTAGTTGGAACGACTTTATCACCAATGAAGACAAGATCAGGATGTATCGTAAGTAAGCCAATACAATGAAAAGACTATGTTTAACCTTTAATATAGACATTTATAAAATCAGAACATTAGTTACATTACATAGGGAATAGTTAGTTAATCGTTTATTTATACTAGAAAGTAATTAATAGAAAAATCAGACTGAAAAGTACAAGGATACTAGTTTTAAAAAGGAGGGTTATAATATATTGATATAAAACATGATTAATATACATTTATGCTAATTCCTATCTGTATAAGAAACCCATAGTCGTGTACATAAGTAGTAGTCTGACTGACAGAGTCAGAGACGTATCAAAAAAAATAAAGAATATTACACAGTCCAAAATGCGTAATTTTATAGTCAAATGTAAAATGTAAACAAAGTTCTTGAAAAAAACAGAAAAACGAAAAGAATTGTAACAAACACTATTTACGAATGTGAGTAAAAGGAAAAACTCTCGGAAAAGAGTTTAATTATGCAGACAATAAAAAACTAAAAATGATTTCTTTTTACTGACAAAAAATAGAAAGATGAAAGCCAACCCTTACCAAACAGCAGGACGAGAAACAAAGCAAGCTTTGTTTCAAGTCAAATAATGCCATATGTAATAAATATATTAATAACGTCGCTTTCATGATCTGTACTTTACTACGGACTCGGTTGGTGCAAAAAGAACTTGGTCAGTCCATAAAGACCTCGAGGTCAGTTATTAAGGGCTTAATATATATGAAAAACTTTCTCAATTCTGGCTGGCACGTATAATACAATTCCATTGGATATTAGTTTTCATAACACCATAGCTTTCAAACACGCAGCTAGAACAAGGTAACTACTTTTTGGCAGTGTTCATTTTTGGTCCAGTGCGAATTGTAAGCTCATTGACCAAAGAAATTTACTTAAGCTTGCGCCAGCCATTGCATTTGCTTTGTTTACTTTAATTTAACTTTCACGCCTTTGAAATGTTCCATATTGTTTGGCTCTTAGATCACTTCTTTGTTTGATTAACCAATCAGGAGCAAATTTACTTTTAAAAAAATTGCACTGTAATTCCTTTTTACTGCACCGTGTTTCTTTTTTTTTCTACTGGTATTTACACTGAGAATTTAACCAATGAGAACTGAGAATTTTTTTCATGTATAAAAGCGTAAATCAATAAAACCAATCCAATGTTAGCTTCTGAGTTTTACATGAAAATGACGATTATAAAAAATGGACAAATGACCTTTGAATTTCAGTTTAACAATTTTTAGCCACATTTGCACCTTTAAGAAGAACGTCTTCAGCCAAATTATTTTTCTCGATATTGCAAAAAGCAGCGGCAAGCTCTTTGTACCACAACTGCTTATTTTCTCGTGATTCAAACCAAAACTTTAACATTTCAAACCCTTGCCAGCTCACGTCACGATTATTTAGTTCAATTTCTTTTATTTTCGCATCTTTGATATTCAGAAATACAGCCAAATACTTCCATTTATCAGGAATTTCTTGGGCAAACATTAGCAGAATTTGCTTGATTCCTGGAAAAAAAACCCCGCACATTTAAAAGCAAGTTAATAGCATTTCTCCTTTGGAAGGAAATGTTGGACATCCTACATCAACTATATAAATATACATAGCATGAGACTTTTTAAAATACATGAAAGATGTGCAGTCTTGATTTCAGTATAACTTTTGATAACAATATAATAGTGCTTTTAGTAGTAATGTGTCAAAATGCTAGCACCAACTTTGTGTGATCTACATTGGAAGTTTTTTCAAAGTGCGTTTTGCTACAGTTCATTCGATTCGTAATTTTTTGCATCATTTAAATCGCATACGGTACGTAGCTATAAATTATCAGCCAACACTGATGATTGCCCAACTCAAAATTCGAAATAAAGCCATTTTTTAAAACAAATTTATTTATTATTTGTAGCATATCGTCTTTACACAAGACATCATCAGACTGGTAACTAAAATGATCAAGTGTGCGTTTATTTTTTTACATATTAGAAGTGTAGTTATAAGTGTTTGATCACAGTGAGGTGATATGTAGCGTGAAATGATGGAAAACGTAGTGGGATATTTAAAAAAGTTCGAGTGGGATGGAACTGCCTTGGACATTCAGTGTAGGTGTAAGATTTGAGAACAGGAGGCTTTCATGAATCATTAAGTCAGGAGTGTAAGGTGAAGATGAGATGATAGTGAAGTCATCAAAGGAAGCTGTTTGACCGGATCTGTTGATATAAGGTGGGATGCTAGATTTGGTAGGGCACAATTACTGTTTTTCTTTCAGGGGCAAAATTCCCAGGTTCTCTGAGATTCTGGTTTAAAGATGGCGTGTGGTTTGACGAACATACGACGCGTTGCAGCGTCGACACTTAAAGAGATAAACTACACCAGATTTCAAAAATCTGGCAATCTTATCCTTGAAAGGAAAGAAGAAGGAAATGTGTGTAGAATGACGGAAAACAAATCTGATGTTAACGTGTGGGAGGGCAGCGTTGCCGAGCCGTTAAGTTTGGTGCGTATTTGCAGAGTGTGATACTGTTTAGGGAAAGCAGAAAGAGACGAGCTTCTTGGGCACGGTGGTAATAGATGGTTGTGGGGAAAAGGCGTCGTCGAGGAAAAGACGAACACTGTTGTAAAAAAAATTGAGAGGGGAAACCATTTGAGGGAAAGAGTTTTCGAACTATCTCTAGTTGATTGTGGAAGTTGTTGTAGCTTGAGGAGATGTTAAAAGTACGGAGAATAATGGTTGAGATAAGGTAGCATTTATAAGTGAGGGGGATGAAGCTATGGAAGTGGGTAAAGAGTTCAGTGAATGTGGTTTCTGGTAAACGGATGTTATGTATTTTCCGTCAGAACATGTGATACTAATGTCTACAAGAGGAGAATGTTATTTTGCTCGGTTTCAGAGAAGGCAGCGTGTTTCGACTTTATTGCAAAGCCATCATCAGAGAATATATAATATATTAATCCTAACACGGTTTTTCCGGTAAACTGCTATAGTAGCGAGTTTAAAAATAATTTGACTCGTCTCGAACTTACTTTCAACATCTGCTCAAGATACGAAAACTTCCACAATCAACTAGAGATGGTTCGAAAACTCTTTGAGTCAAATGGTTTCCCCTCTCAACTTTTTGACAACACAGTTGGCCTCCTCCTCGACAACGTCTCATAACTACACTTCAAATTTGTAAATATAAAACGCGCACTTGATCATTTTAATTACCTATCTGAAACGTTACAAATAATATATGATTCCTTTAAAAAATGGCTTGATTTCAAATTTTATGTAAGGCAATTGTCTTCTTAACACGAATCCGTTTCCCGCCTGGCAAGTCTCTCACTATAACAATGATGATGTAAACAATAATTAATTTTTGCATGAAGAATGTGTCATTATGGACTTTGCAGCGAAATAAATTCCTTAGCTTTTTCAAAAAAAGTCTGTAACTCGGGTAAGTCCTTTGTAGACTCTCTTTATTCTTCGTATTGTCAATTTTACACCACAACTAACCATATTCTAATTATACTACATTGAGCGTAATGTCTACTTACTACAATTTCTGGTGTGTAAATGTACTGCACATAACGATGTTGTATTTTAAAAAATTATTAGCATGATATAAGAAAACAAGAATGCTGAATCTTAGCATGAAAGCACGAGTGTTATATGGAAAAATCTTTGTAGAAAGACTAATTAACTTTTTCCATACGATGACAGAACAGGCCGTCAACTTCATTGCCCATCTATTAAAGGTCTCGGCCACAGTGCATTTAGTACGGCCAAATCATCATTAACTGTAATAATTGTAACATGTGAGATCTTTCAAAGAAAACAGACTGGTGAGAGAATTGGCAAAAGCGATATTTGAAATAAAACCAACTTTTCCAAAACGTAAAGTAATATAGGATGTTCGAAAAGTATTGATATGCTAAAATTTAGTAACCCTGACGCCAGAACTCGAACTTAAACAACACAAACATAAACTAGTTATGGTGCTGTCAGCCTGTCACTTATATGGTGACAAATGAGTCATAACAATCATAAGCTTGATTTTCAACTGGTGCAAAAACCAAGAAAAACATATTCCTCACCATAGAAACAAGTTAAAACTCACTAGGTCAGTATGAGTATTTCAAACAAAAATTTTTTGTTGATCTTCACTAATTTTTATTGAAGAACATATTAAATTTTGTGATAACATGCCTATTACAATACGTTTATCATAAAAAATCAATGCAAACTTCAGAATATTATGTTTCTATCTATAGCTAATGACATAGCTGATGAAAAGTTTGAGTTTAAAAATCAAACAAGACTTACATTAAGTCCTGTGCATCTTAAGCTATCATTTGCGTAAAATACTGTTGAATGTGTATGCTTTTTATCTTATTGCTTCTAGACCATAGGCCATATCGCAAATGTCATCTTGAAATGACATCAGTTTGCGTCCACTGAAGAAACAGCTGAATTTCACAACATAGGTAGTTTATATTTAACAAATAAATAACATTTAAGAGTTGTCTATACAGTTATACATACACGGGTGTACGTTTTATTTGTGATAAAAGCTAAAAAAAGTTGGCCCAGTTACCTGATCGAGTAATTTTTCACTGTTATTAGACTATTATTTCACCGAACAAACAAAAAATGGCATTTTTCCTCGGCTTGCCTGAACCATAAATCCTCAATACCATGTTCCAAGTTTATTTTTCTACTTTGGTTTGCTAATAAAAATGCTAAGTCAGCCGTGTGATCTTGATCTACTCTGTAAAGTTATAACTTTGAGACTCTTATAGTCGTCTATATTTCTGTTCACTAGCCTTCTTGTCTGCTACATTACTTGCAATACGAATATAGATTTGGAGCCTTGTCATACTGCATGTACAGTACACTAAAACAGTTCTAGCACAATGCTCAACTATTAAGATGTTTCACAACTACAACAAAGATGTCATGTGGGCTGCAAACAGCTGTGAATTTTGGGTAAGACAGCCCAAAAACATTTGAAAAATTTAATAAACAGCAAAGCTCAAATATTAAAACAATTCACTCATAGCTCAAAAAATGCAATAATATAACAAAGCCAACACGACATCTCAGATACCATCTATCAAACTTATAGTTTAAAATTGAAATGACAATTCACTCTAGTTAGGTTGTAGCAACACTGATAATAATAATTCATACAATATTCATTTGTTATCTTATAAAAACAAAAAAGGCAACGTTGAATCACTACTATTCTGGTAGTATTTGAAGTAAATTTCGAGTAATAAACTCAAATTGAAAGGAAATGTAGCTTTGACATTCATCTGCATGGTACCAAATAATCACATGTATACTGAATTACATGTCGCCAAAAGTAAAAATTTAAATATTTTGATCATTTTTTTTCCCTCTCTCTTGCGTAATTGCCTGTTCTGTTCTCTTGTCAGCATTTGGATATTGCAAAACCGATTCAACAATCGTAAAGGAAATTGCAGGGCGCCGGTATGAATACAAAACAAGAACTGTTACGAGCAAAAATTTTCAGCGAAAGACTAATTGTTAACGTAAAGGTCGTAAATTATCCTCAGAGTTTAACGCGGACCCCAACGTCATTTCTCCTTATTATACATGGAAGTTTACTCCATTTAGAAGTAAAAAAGTCAATATACACCGAAGTGCCAAGAGCAAATGACGTTAATTTTTAGTTAGCACTACTTTTGATATGCATAACGCAAAAAACTTGTCATCCGAGTGAGCAACTTTATCAAGCTTTGTTGTGCGCCATTGTTTATCAAGTGTAGTGAAAGACTTTTCTCCCCGATGCTAAAAAAATGGTTGAGAGAAAGACTCTCTTTGCGTTGAAGACGTAAAAACATAACATTGATTTCACCTTTCTCTGATCGGATCATATACTCAAGATAAAATAATCTATTTTTCTCCTTTATGTGCAAGTTAAACAATTGACATACAACGTCAAGTTGATAAGTAGTACTACAGCAACACGATGGTTAAAATTTTTTGGTTCTTGATGGATGCATAAAAAAGTCACAATTTTCGAAGTTGGCCCATGGCCGTTTCGTTTCTGACTCATGACAAGAAAGAATTAAAATTAACCTATGACTTAAGGTAGGTCTCGCTCAGTTTTCAAATTAACATCAAAAACCTTTACACATTTCACGCATATAAAACATAAAGGGCAACCTAGTACATAGATGGGAAATTTGGTAAAATAAATTGCTTCAGACGTCAATGTTGTCATCTCTGTTTTTTATGATTTTAGGGTAAAAATTATGCACCGAAATATTTCTCTTGAGTTTTTATATTTTTGTTAATTTTTGCATTTTTAATAATGCTTGTGAGTTAATAAACAATATTTTAACATAAAGAAGGTAAGGCGCACATGCTTTAAGATTTGACTCAATAGCTTTTATCATGTAAACAATCATTATTTTTTGTATAAAGAATGTGTCATTATGGACTCTGTATCTAGAAAAACTCCTTATCTCTCAAAATGACAGGCCTTTACTCCTGTCTGTT